CTCAGGGAAGTTCACGGCGCTCGGGGTCGAGGAATTCCGATCGTTGCGCACTATTGCGCAATATGAGGAGGATCCGATTTTCGCGATGTTGCAGGACTATGCAGAGCAAGACTTTGCTCGCGCTTCCCAACGCATCCATGCGGCATGGGATTCGCGCGCGCCCTTACTGGCAGGAGAAATTACAGAAGCTCGTTTTGTTTGTCTCAACCGATCGCCAATGGATCACGCAGGCTGGTTGAGCGCTGAGGACTTCTACGTCCGGCGCAGATAAGCAAGTGAGACAGAGCGAAGGCCCCACACATTGCCAACCTCATTGTGTATATCCTCCGACATTCGGCGTGCTGTGTCACGACTTTGGTCGGCTAGTGTTCGCTCGCGGAGATTCTGCGCGAATTGCACGCAGACGGCTTCGGGTGCCCAACCTTACCTTTTGCGATGCACGGACTCTCCATGCTTCTGCCGAGCGTTGTCCAGATCTTAGTCTTTCGGGCCAGTGTCCGTAGTTTGGTCGGAGAGATGTGCCACTGCTGGCGGTCATTGTCGTGGGGCGACGAACTCTCCGCTGAAGACGTGGAAGATTCCGTCGAGAAGCTTTCGGCTCCCATCCTGAGTCGGGCCGCGCGCGGGCATTCAGTTCGCGTCGCAGACGTGGAGCGTATGGTCGCGCCATGCGACCACAGTGGCATGTCTCACAAGCATGGCGCGTCTGTAATGACACATCGAAAGATGCAATTTTTCGCTCACAGGTAGGCGACATGTGCTTTTCAAGCACAGACGCAGGATTGTTTGCTTGCCCAGACTTTAATGTATTGAGGCGTCTCCCCACCGCATTAAACGAATTGCCGCCCGACTCTGCTCCGGTATTTCCGAACTGCCTAAGGTGGCTGGGGCAATCTGCAGATGAGGAACTGCCGTCTATGGATGGGGCATCTGCGCATGATGTGAAGTGGGGGCATCATGCTATTTCAAGACAAGATATACTGTGGACGCGCGTTTCGGGTGATCCCTGACGTGTCAGTAAGTGGGCTGGCATGGATAAATTTTTTAATTACCAACGCACTGACAACCCATCTACCATGAAATGGTCAAAACATTGGGACTTACAATGGATCAGCAATGCAGGTAATGTGATTCGCAAGGGATCGTGGTTTTCCAACAATCAGACGAGAGCTTCTTTCAGCAAAATGGCTCTCAGTATGATCGGCCGTGGACGGACGATGGGAGGTGCATCTGTACAACGCTGCACAGTTTCTGTGTGGGGATGCGTCTCTGCCCAGATTGCGACGACCTCGTGGAGAGACTTCTGAACAGTCGAGCATACCATGACATGCAATCGATCTGCAAGACAGACATCTGCCTTCATAAGAGAGGACTCCAGAAACAGGTATTGGATTGACATGGGACTCTTGCATCCATGGAGAACCAGATCGTGCAAATCTCGCAAACAACCGGCGGCACTTTGAGATCTCAGGACCAGCATCAGAGACAATGAGTCAGCAACCTTACCGTCAGGCTTTCAAAGTCAAGGGTTGGCATCACTTTTTTGGCATGGACTTCGGGATCTGTTCCCCAGTGGAATGCCCAGCAGGCAAAACGGCGAGCCTCCATTCCGATGCCAGCCATATACCCGTTCTCCGCCGCCACCTGGTTGACGAGCAAATGCCAGGAGAGAAGTCATGTGCATGGTGGGGGGGACTCGGCCTCCACCCACTGACGACGAATATGATTCTCTCAACTCTCGTTACACATGTCAAGACCCAGAAAGATCGGCCCCGCGTCGCTTCTGAGTCCTTTCATCTAGTGCGCGCAGAACGGCTTGGTCTGGGGCCCAAGCTACCAGTTGTTTACGTTGTCAACAACGAATGTGTCGACAGGGCTTAATTCCCGCGGGGAGAAGGCCGGGGCTCCATTCACCCGGGAGACCAGACTGACAATGCGGGAGAGGATGCATGAACATTTCAATTCAATCTCGTGAACACCAGAATGACTTTGATCAGAGCGCGCCCTTGGGAGAGGATGCGAGACTCCCCTGTGCGAAAGCGTTCGCGACAGAGGGATCGAGCCAGCCCCGATATTCCCGCGCGGCAATTGCGGTCGCGTCCTCCAAGGGTGAAGTGATGAACGCTGCGTTTCATGCCGTGCAGCAGTCTTTCAGGGTCGATGGCGTTGAGGGGGGGGGGGGGGGGGGGGGCGCTCTTGCTGTGCGAGTTGGCAGGGCCATCGATGATGGTGAATTTTGGGATGGGGGCATTTGCGCTGCCCGACTTGAACTGGCCTTTGCGCATCGTGAACGTCATTCTGGAATGTATAATGGAGTTTCTAGCAAACGACGAATTCCGCGCATTCTCGACGCAGGTGCAAAGTTGGGGGGGGCGCCATAATTTCGGTTGAAGCAGAGACTCTGTGTTGCCTGCAGCAGATGCGGAGAGATGCGTATGAACTCGATGAGCAGATAGGGGAGGCAGTTAAGAGCTCTGACCTGTTTGGGGCGCTTATCACGGACACTGGGTTCAAACATAAATCCAAAATGCGCATTTATCGTTGGCCAATATGAGCCGCGATGGCTGATTTCATCGGCCAGGGCGAACGGAAAGTGCCACTGCAAGGCCGACGTTTTGAATTCTAGGGCCGGTTGGTCTCCGAGCGTGGCCAGCTTAACGCCGCAGCATTCGCAAACCATGGGTTTCCTCATTTCGGCTCGGCCGATGTCTGTGCGCCCACGTGCGGTCCGATGCAAGGTGTTGCGGCCGCAGGCGGAACGCAGCTTCAGCCTGCATCGTCAGAACAGTTGTTCACTGCCGGCACATTGTCGTAACTAACGAAGATGGGGATGCTACTGGCTCAGCTGGTGGTGCGTCGGGGGCGAATCCACGGGCAACCATGTGTGTGGATGGTGAGAGTTGTCGGAGCACCGACTCGGTCGGTGCTTCCACTGCTGCTCCATCTCCTCCCGCGCCGCCGCCGCGCGAAGGCCGGGGCGCGGCTGTCGTTGACCGCTTCCTCTGCGGTGGCGTGCAAGGGCTGCCTCCGCGGCGCGATGATCTGCCCGGGCCGCCGCCGAGGCCGCGGCGGGGCGGTCTGCCGCGGAGCCCGAGCCGCGGGCAGATTCCCATTGGCCCCAGGTAGGGTCCCGCACACTGTGCGCCGAGGCATCGGCAGCCCTGGGTGCGTCGCGGCCAAGATGGACCATGGTCAGCGGGCCGTGCGTCGAGCAGTCGCGCGACCCTGAGCAATTACCGCGCGAGCAAGTGGAATTTCGGATATCACTATGACGCAGGTGTTGGAGGGAAATCTGTAATCAATGAGAGTATAGACAAGTGGCATCACTAGGCTGCCGATGATTACGAGTACTAGGTCAATCGTGCGCGATGAAGAACACTGCTGTCAACGTCTCAGACGGGGCCGCACTGCGTGTTCTACATGAACGGGACAAAGTGCCTGAGCCCGAAATTTGACGTTCACATTTGATGCCGGGGGTTTATTCGCGGGATACGCCGGTCCGTTTCGGCCCTCCCCCAAGGGGAGATCCAACAGTAGTATCGGCGCCCTTCCCCTGGCGTTGTGCAAAGTTTTTGGGGATTGGCGCCAGGGGGAACCAACGTGCTGCGGGGGGTGCCAGGAAACCATGATTTTTTTGGGGTAGGCTAAAACCTTGGGCCTACTCGCCCCGCCGCGGGGGGAGTTGTTCAACCTCTCCTCCCGCTCGCTCCGTTTCCGGCCGCCACAGCTGTTTGCGCGCGATATCAGGGCGCGTGCGCCGCGGGCTCGCCGCGGAGCGCCTGGAGAGGGAGAGGGTTCGTCGTCGTCGTCGTCCCTCCGCTTCTCTTGCTCAGCGGATTATTGAAGACATGTCAGAGGTGCCAGTTTTGAGCGATGAGACCGATTCGTTACCATCAGCATCATGCCTTTTTTTTGCCGGGAGCCGCGTTCCTTTGGCAAATGACTCTTGCCCTTCTCTTCCTCCACCTCTTTTGCGCCATCCATTTTCCCCGTCTTCGGCTCCGTCCTCGTCCAGCGTCCTCACCTCCGTCTTTCGCCCTCCGTCCTCCGTCCTCGTTGCTGTCGTCGTCGTCGTCGTCGTCGTCGTCGTCGTCGCCGTCGTCGTCGTCGTCGTCGTCGTCGTCGTCGTCGTCGTCGTCGTCGTCGTCGTCGTCGTCTGCGTCGTCGTCGTGGTGGTGGTGGTTGTCGTCGTCGTAGTCGTCGCCGTCGTCGTGCCATCCTCCTCCGCCTCTCCCCTCCCGCTCCGCGTCTTCTCCCCTTCTCCTCCTCCTCCTCCTCCTCCCCCTCTTCCTCCCCCTCTTCTTCCTCCTCCTCCTCCTCTTCCTCCTCCCCCCCGTTCTTCTCCTCCTCTTCCTCCTCCTCCTCCTCCTCTTCCTCCTCCTCCTCCTCCTCCTCCTCCTCCTCCTCCTCCTCCTCCTCGTTACAGGGCGTCCTGGCCCGTCGTGTTTCCGACTCGCATGGCACCGCGAAGGCGGCCAGGAGCGGCAACGCCACGCCGTTTTCATTCACTTCTACTCCGGCCTGGGACAGGGGCCACGGCTCGCAGGTCCAGAATTGTACAGCATCACACACCCCTTCCTCCTCCCCCTCCCCGTCTTCCTCGTCTTTCTCCTCCTCTTCCTCCTCCTCCTCCTCCTCGTCCCCCTCTTCTCCTGGTCCCCCTCCTCCTCGTTTTCTTCCTCCTTCTCTTCGTCGTCCTCCTCCTCCTCCTCGTTTCCTCCTCCTCCTCCCTTTCGTCCTCCCCCTCCTCCTCCCTCTCCTCTATCTCCTCGTCGTCGTTGTCGTCGTCGTCGTCGTCCTCCTCCTCCTCTTCCTCCTCCTCCTCCTCCTCCTCCTCCTCCTCCTCCTCTCCCCCCTCCGTCCCTCCTCTCCTCCCTGCGCTTCCTTCCCCCCTGTGCCCTCCTCTTCCGCCTCCTCTTCATTCTCGTCCCGCCCTTCCTTATCCTCCCCCTCCCCCCCTTCCTCTTTTCCCCCCGCTGCGCCCCCCGCCCGCGCCGCAGGAAACCAGCGCCGACAGAGAGCGCACGGTGGGCCTACTGAGCCTCTTCCCCCAGGCGCGCCACTGGGGCTCCATCCGCGGGGTCGCCACGGACGAGTCGGAGAAGGCGCCGATTCGGGGGCCTCAGGGGAGGAGGTGTCTTCGAGTTATGATGCTCCAGCCTACTTTAGCCGTTCTCGCCAGGAATTTCGAGCGCCATGAATGAGTGTACCGAAGCTGGAGGTTTTCACGTATCGCGCCCCGAGATGCGATATTCGCTCGACACTTAGCCAGCGTGTCGGGTAAAGACTGTTTCGGCATTTTTTGGGTGCTCGAAATTAATTTCTGGGACACGGCCCGTAAATACGATGGGAACAACCGAATCTTGGAGACGGATGGAGCTCCTTTATATGCAGGCGTGGCCAGCGGGTTGGGCCGGAGACCGCCGAGCGCTTTTCGGAGAGGCCGCGAGTTTTTGCCATGCCAATCACCCTTTTGCAAGCGATGAGGTGTGACCGCCGCTCCCTTGCCTTTCGGGAAGCACACTTTGTCATGTGCTCCTCTCTGGGCTCTCTTTCTTGATGTCCTTGTGTTGAAGAGGCCTTGCGGCTGGTGCCGCCGACCCTGGAAGAGGAACCTTTACGATGCAGGAGGTGTGCGAAGGTGTTCGGGAAGGTTGTAAGGCTCTGGAGATTTCCGAGCTTGCTATTGGCTTCGGAAGGGCATTCAACGAGGAGGAGGAGGAGGAGGAGGAGGAGGAGGAGGAGGAGGAGGAGGAGGAGGAGGAGGAGACCAAGGAGGAGGAGACCAAGGAGGAGGAGGAGGAGGAGGAGGAGGAAAAAGAGGAGGACGAGGATGATGGGGAGGCGATTTTTGGGGGACCTTGGGATTTCCGCATGTCTTTCAGGGCTCGTGGCTGCAATCTGAGGCTGCGTCGGACCTTCTTGGAGCAGTCGTTCGGCCGTATTCGGTGTGCTTTCGGATCATCCTCGCCTGCTCTGAGGGCATAGTGAGCTTTCTCGGTTGCAAGACAACGCTATCCTGGCTTTGGAAGCCACTTGGCTGTCTCCTGGAAGCAATGTTCGCTGACTCAGAATTTATCCTGGGCCAGGTTAGCCGTTGTGATGGCCAGTTCGAGTCGTCTGGGCGCTGTATGGGGGCTCTCCAGCGGCTTCTTGGGTTGACTGGGTGTTACTGTGGAGGCATTCTGGGCTCGGTGAGGCCGTCGGGAGGAGGGAAGGGTGCGAATGCCAGCATCATGTAACTGCATGGTGAAGATCATTGGCTAGCGGCATACTGGGAGTGTTCGGGCCTCTTTGAAGCCTCTTGGGGACGTTTTGAGGCTCACTGGGGACTTCTCGGGGGCCTCTTGGAGCTCTGTGGGGGCCTCTCGGAAGTTTCTTGGGGCCTTCGTTGGGAGCGTCTTTGGGCGGTAAGGTCGAAATGTCGGTTCGTGTTCGCGCTCAGGGCCTCGCTGGGGGCGTTTTTGGGGCCCTTTCGTGCCGTCTTTATGCCGCTTGGGCCGTTTTGTTGCTGTTTTTTTTGTGTTATGTGGACAGTCTCGGCGCCCTCGAGAGCCTCGTAGGCAGTTCGGGGCAATATTTGGGGCTTCGTAGGCCGTATTGGAGCGTCGGGAAGCCGAAAGGGAGAAACCCCGAAATCTGTGCAACATCGAGGGGAACTACAGTCATTTGGCCAATCCGGGTTTCTTGGGGCGTATTAGAGGCGTCCGGGGCCGTCTTGGCCGGCCTGGAGCGATCTTTGGACGACTCTAGGCTCTCCCGGGCTCCTGGTGGACTTTATTGGAATTGAGAAGGCGCCCCCCGAGACGGAAGGGTCAGGTCAGGTCAGGTGTGCCTTGCACCAGACGGTGCGTGAGCAGGGTGAAAGAAAAAACAAACAGGCAGCCCGTTGGTCACGCTAAAGTGACTCAGAGGAGGAGGAGGAAGAGGAGGAGGAGGAGGAGGAGGAGGAGGAGGA